GAGTTTCAAGTATTTAGGGTATTAATTTTCAAAAGTCGACTCAGTACTAACTTCCATCCATTATCTTTACCCGCTTATTCCATTTTGGGTCACGGGGGTCGCTGGTGCCCATGTCCAGCAATCACTGTGCGAGGGGCGGGGTACACCCTGGACGGGTCGCAAGTCCATCACAGGGCCACATAGAGACAAACGAGACAAACAACCATTCACTCTCCCACTCACACCTAGGGACAATTTAGAGTTACCAATCAGCCTAACATGCATGTTTTTGGTCTGTGGGAGGAAACCGGAGTACCTGGAGAAAACCCACCATGCACGGAGAGAACATGCAAACTCCACCCAGAAGGCCCCTGGACCGGGGTTTGAACCAAGGACCTGCTCGCTGAGAGGCAGCAGCTCTACCAGTTGCACCACCGTGCTGCCCAGTACTAACTTGATCAACAATATTTTTCTCAGCTTGTCATTAAAGAAGGAACATCCTGTAACTACCCAACAAAGTTAAGTCAGGTCCTCTGGATGGTTTCTTTGTGTTGAAATGTTTCGTCTTTCAGCCAAAAGACTTGGTCAGTTCAAGGAGTCACAACAAACTCAGTCCAATAAGTAGCACACTCACAAAGTGGGCCAACTAGTTGGCTTTTTTCATCTGGATTATTGAGCATGAACTTTGATTTTTTTTAACCACTTTGGCCATGGCTGCCTCGGAGAAGTCGACGGGGGAGAGGGTGGACTCCAGAATCCATCTTATCACCATCAAACTGGTTGGTCCACTATGTGAGTGTGCTACTTATGAAACTGAGTTTGTTGTGGTTCCTCGGACTGATGAAGTTCTTTGGATGAAAGAAGAAACGTTTCAGCACAAAGAAACCATCCAGAGAACCTGACTTAACATTGTTGGATTTTTTTACCTGGATTATTAAGCATGAACTTTGATGTTTTGAATCATGTAACTACCTTTTTCTGTGTTTGTGATACTGTTAGCAAAATATCTCGTGAACCAGTGGGCTGATTTGAATGAAACTCACAAATAGTCATTTGATGCTCATCTACAACTGACTAACTTTTGGCATTAGGCTGATTCAAAATGGTTGCCACAGCTATTTGACATGAGTAAACACAAAAATGCCTAAATCTGTCATTTGTAGACATTAAGCTGAAATTTGGTGTGGTTGGTAAGAGTACAACACATATTTTAAGTGCTAACGGATCACACAAGATCTTTGTTTTAAGCTCCCGGGTGCAAGCTGGTGAGGGATTTGCATTCCTTCAGGGAACGCTAGTTCCATCTATAAACGAGCCTGACGTTTAGTGTTATATTTGGGATAAAAATACTTTTTTTATACATAAAAACATAATTTTTAAGTAAAGAAAAATTCACACTGTATTCTTAAAAAATGTCCCCCATGTTATTGACAGGACTAAAACTTACTGATTTTTGAACATTTAACATTTCAAATCTTTAACTTTGTCAGAAGTCATTTCCTTTATGTTTAATTTGTTTATGTCATGTGAAACTTTACTGTGAGGTGTGTTTTGAACCTTCACTTCTCCAGACTCAGGTGGTGTGGATTAAAAAGTTCAGGAACTGAACTGCTTTTCAGTTTACCGTGAGGCCCCCACTGGTCTGCTGTCAAATCCTCTCTTCTTACACCCCTCCTCCAATCCACCTGCTGCCTCAGCAAAGAAATCAGTCAAGGTGAGTAGACTTCCCAATTTTTTCTTTCAGAAAACAAGGGAAACAAGGAGCAGGAGAACAGCACAAGCACACATGGAGCACAAATGAGTTGTTTAATCAAGAAACATTTTGCTCGTGACTGAAGTTGCCATGGAGATTTTGTGCAACATGTGGAGCTGTGCTTAACAGTCTGACCTTAACCTTGCCCCCTTCACAACTGCATGCTTTCATGACAGATACATAGCTGTACCAACCCCCTTTAAATAAATAAAAAACACTAGAAGTGTATTTTCTGTTAAAATGCAGCGTAACAGCAGGATTTTTACGAAATATCCTGAAGAAGCTGAAACCAGACCTCTTACTAAAAGCTTTAAAATGCTAAACATAGCTAAAAGCCAAAAATAGCTAAATGCTAGCTTATATCAACAATTAAGCAAAATGCTAGCTAAACTAGCAAAACAATATCTAAAGCTAAAATTAACAAAAGCTAGCTACAAGCTGAATGTAGACAAATGTTAAAAGCTAAAAATCAAAAAGCTAAATAAAAGTAGCAAAAAGATAGCTGAAAGCTAAATGTAACAAAATAGTTGCTTAAAGCTAAATGTAGCAAATTGTAGCTTGAAGCAAAAAGCATCAGAGGTCTAGCTAAAAGCTTACAGTAGTAAAACACTAACTAAAAGCAACAAAAAATAGCTAAAGAAGAAGGCTACACAGAGGTCTGTTGGAGTCAGCTTCCCACCATCACAGACATTTACACCTCCAGATGCAGGAAGAGGGCCACCTGCATCATGAAGGACCCCACTCACCCAGCACACACACTTTTTGTCCCGCTCTCCTCAGGCAGGAGGTTGAGGAACATTGCAGAACCACTAGACTGAGGAACAGCTTCTACCCTGAGGCTGTTAGACTCATGAATCCCTAGTCAGGATTATCACTGTGAAAATTACTGTGGAAAAAAAAAACACTGAAAAAAAATCACTGTAATGCCACTTGGTCGTTGATATGTGCTGCTGACTATCCATGATGCTGATCTCATGCTGCTGATTTATTTCATGTTGCTGTGTTCATTCGTCCTCATCTGCTCATACAGACTCATGTTCATGCTGCTGTTTTTTGGTGCATTGTTTTGTACTATTAGTGCTTAGTGTATTCTTAGTTTAGCATATTTCTTAGTTCATATCTTAAATCTTACTACTGTTTTTCTTTACAGTTTGTATTTTTGTTGGATCTAACTGGGACCCTGTGTACATAATTTTGTTCCACCTCATGTGCCACATGTGATGTGAACGACAATAAAGACACCTTGACCTTTACATAAAGGCTAAAAGTAGCAGGGTGGCATGGTGGATCAGTTGGTAGAGCTGTTTCCTGTCAGCTAGAAGGTTGCCAGTTCAAATCCTGGACAGGGGCCTTTCTGGGTGGACTTTGCATGTTCTCTCCGTGCATGTGTGGGTTTCCTCCGGGTACTCTGGTTTCCTCCCACAGACCAAAAACATGCATGTTAGGCTGATTGGTAACTCTAAAATTATCCCTAGCTGTGAGTGAGAGTGAATGTTTGTCTCGTTTATCTCTATGTGTCCCTGTGATGGACTGGAGACCTGTCCAGGGTGTCCCCCATACAGTGACTGCTGGATATGGACACCAGCGACCCCAATGACCCAAAATGGAATAACCCTTTATTTATCCAGGTAGTCTCATTGAGCCACGAGAACTCATTTTCAAGAGAGACCTGTTTAGGGAGCAGATGGGGGTTGAGGGCCTTGCTCATGGGCCCAGAGTGGGGCAAATGAGGGTGGGGGCAGGTGTGGGTGCTTCACCTACCCCACCCACATTTTTGATGTTGTCGATACTAGGGCTTGAACCAGTGATCTTCGGATCACAGACCCACCGTCTCTAACCTCTGCGCCACCACTCCCCAATAAGCGGGTAAAGATAATGGATGGATGGCTAAAAGTAGCTAATGGCTAGTCAAAAACTAAAAATAGCATAAAAAGACACAAATAGAGCAAGTATGCAGCAGAATAAAGCAGATTTCAATGTGAGTAATAGTTTGGACAAAACTGAAGAGATCTCAGTTAATTTGTTTATTTAAAAAAGTATTAGTTTAATAAAGTTTTATATATTGAAAAGTATACAAATATCAAAAGTCACAGCACCCGCCTCCTTACTAAGTAGAATATTTGGGGATATGAACAGCTAAATTAGCTCCAAGTACAAAGCAATAGTGTGAAAGCTAACTCAGCAGTATTAATAGTAATCTATGGCAGACATTACTGGTTCCTTTATGAAGGTTCCAGCTCTGTTCGGATCATGCGTGGCTCTTTAGGTGTTGTGCATTATATGTATTTCTCAAGTGGATCCTCCAGGTCCTTGAAGCGCCATTTACAAATGTTTCCCCCTCCCCCATTCGCATTTCTCCTTCTGCCCCTTTTTGCCCCTCTGTCCTGTTCTGTCTCTCCTGCACTCTGTTTCCTGTGTGCTGGGGGCCAGCGGAGGGGAAGTACACCAAGAAAAGAAAAGCCCTCCCTGAGTTCAAGTGCACGGGCTCAACGACTCAGCTGGTTTTGGCAGAAGACTGAACGATGGCATGAAAACTAAGGAAGGGCAGAATATTCACCTACTGATGAGGTAGCTGTGCACATAGAATGGGCGTAATTTCATTAATAGAGGGAATTTTTTTAAAACTGCTAAGAGAAAAACAGGAAAAATATCCCCTCCCCTTTTTTCTCTCTCCTCGTATACTCCCTCCCAGCCTCAGCTCTCTCCCTCCCTCCTTCTCGCCTCTCCTTCATTCCTATCCTGCATGCATACAAACACGATGACTGATGTCTTCTACCTCCTCCTGCGCGCCCTGTTTTGTCAGCACCCTCTCTGCACCAGACTCCTCTGGATGTCACACATGGTGGAACTGGACCTGTGCAGTGTCTCCAGCACTTGCTGTCCCAGACACAAACTGAGCAGCAGCATCGGTGGACCAGCCTGCCTCTCACTTTACCGCCTGTGATTTTAGTCACTGCCTTTCCCTCCTGAGCTCCTCCTCACAGCACCGACTTCCTTTGTCCACAAGGCATGTTTCCTTTCAAACTGCTGAATGACACGGGGATGAAGAAAATTATGCGTGAGGAAGAGATGAGGAGGCAGCAGTGACTAAAATGTGACACTGCTGGTGGGTGAGAGAGCTGTAAGTCAGGAAAAAAGACAAAAAAAGATAAGGATATGGGAGCAGAGAGGAAAATATCAAGCTGGAATCAGAAATGAAGCAGAGAAAAAGGTAAAAATGCAACTCAATTTTTGATAATAGTTCATAAACCCTCTTTTAAATTGTCGTTTTAAACAAAAAGTAAATTATCCACGCGTTTTTCTTGAGAATGTGTTTGCGTTGGTGCGTTAAATCCTACTCTTTTCTCCTGCTTTAGATCGTCTCTTGTCTTGTAATCCAGCCTTGCCGTTCCCTGGCAGAACAAATGCACGTTGGCTTAAAGTGAACTTGCCTGAAAACAAGTTTAGCTCGAGCTGAAAGGCTTGATGTTGGGGCCCAGCTGCGAGGCTGAAGGCTTGAGACGCTCATTTTTGTGCCCTCGTTGTGTCAGTAATGTAACTGTTAACGCTTGCTGTGCTATCATCGTGTTGCGTGACCCATTTTTAATATCTGGTGTTCAACTTCCAGCTGATGTGAAACCAAAGAGCAACAAAAAGAATTTGAATTATTCAACCATCATCCTCCCAACTCTGGAATCAACACGTCCCACCCTCCACTTCCCGTCACTGTTTGTTTTTGGTCTCAGTATGAATCCCTGCTATGCTGCTGCTCGCAACCAGAGCTCATCTGAGCGTTTTTCAGTATCGACCAAGTCTGCACTTACTGTACGAAACAGCTTTGTGCTCTGCACCTTGTGCAAAGCTGCCTCCATTGTTTCATCTTGACGAGCGATCCTTCGCACGCTCCGTGAAATCTCTTCGTTCTCATTCGTGCTCTTCCTAAGTCTGTGCATCTCCATAGTGACTACTACCTCCATCATACTCCAGCATGTAAGCTAACAAAGATCCCCCTCTTGTCTTTTGTATTACAGTGCTCCATTCAACAGAAAACAAAAATAGGGATTTTCCAATAGGTGGGGTGGAGGTATGTGTGAAGATTAGAGTAGTTTTCAGCACTGATAGTGACAGTAGACTTGAACGGATGACCTTGATGAAGAATTTGCCAGGTTTTCACAAAGGCTGCAAAAAAAAGAAGAACAAAAAAAACCCCGAAGTTGAGCAGGGTTTATTTGATTTATTTTGTCTTTTGGAGATAAACCAAAGAGAAACTCGGTTATTAACTTTATACTTTTCAAATGCATAAAACTAAACTAACTATGCTTGTGTTTAAAAGCGCTATTTTTTTATTTTAGTAATCATTTGTGTTGGATTCTTAAAATAAAATTATACAGTAATAGTAATAAAATATGGAAAATAAAAGACAGAACTTGTACTAATTGATACAATATTAACTAATTGAGTTTTTACAGTCATTAAGACTTTTAACCCTTTTTAGTTAATATAAACACGTTTAACTATACATTTAGTCATTAATGATTTTTATAAGGTGATCAGTGCACATAAATTATCTAAAATTATAGTAATGAATTGTATATAGTGTTATAGCTTCACAAAGGCGTTTTTGTGCAACACAAATATAAATGACCCTTGCAAAGCTGCTCATTTTGTTTTCAGTTAATTGATTTAAACACAACATTTAAAAAAAATGCATTTTAATCTCAGTTGTTGTTTTCACCTTGCTAAACAACAAACAGTTGTCATCAAATTGAACAAAAGGCAAAAAGTATTCATGTTTAATTGGTGAGAGGGAGACAGTTCTCTATTACTGATGTAGTTGGATACCTTTTGTTATACTGATGCATGCTCGATAATCCAGGTGGATAAATCTAACGAGATTAAGTCCAGTCCTCTGGACGGATTCTTCTGTACTATCTTTTTTGGTATTTTTCTGACCACTTCAGCTCTAAAAATATCTGAAAAAAAATTGGGATGATTATGCAGGAGAGTGACCTTAATGCCTGTGTGAGCGAGCGCTGTGATGTTCTCTCTCAGTGACAGCCTGAGGAGGCATGACAACAGCCACAGTAATGATTTGTGGTACTTATCCTTTACAGCTGTTTGGGAGCGATCACTCTGCACCCGCTGACCCTCATACACCTAACAGTTAACACTTTACAGGGTTATTTTCTTCTTCTTCATATAAATAAATGTTTTTTGTTCTAACTTTTTTAATTGTTGTGGACAAAATGGTCCAATATTGACTTCCTTTATAATTTTGTATCATTTTATTATGTATTTTACACATACGGTTCACAAAAATATTCAGTTTGGCTACAAATTGTTCAAATCTATTGAAGTGGACATATGTGGGAAGGTTATGAACATAAATATCCTACCTGTTGTAGATAGCTCTTTGATTGACCTCAGTTTGGAGAAATAGTTAAAATCTAATTGACAAGACAATCTAAGAACTAGTCAGAGTGACACCAAGACTAAAGTGGATGGCTGCCATTTAAACTACAACCTCAAAACTCTTGTAGTGGATCACGTGAATGCAGTTTTATAAACCTTTACATAACTGTCAGTTTCAAATTACAGGGTTTTTCTGACAGAAATATTATGATATGTCTGCCAGAAGTGCCCCAGCCTGCACCAAAAATGCTACTTTTAGCTGTTATTTCTAGCAGGTATGGCAAATAATCAGTTTTGTGTAAAGGAAAAATAATAATTTACATTTGACAGCAATGTAAACATTTTTATAAATTAGCATTTGCATAAAACATTTTGACATTTTTGAGATTGGAGTTGTTTTACGACTGCAGCTCTACCTTGATGTTGGCTTCCTTATCAAGCTGGTGAGAAATAAACTTTTTAAACTCAATTTCTCCAAACTGAGCTTATTCAATGTCTTATTTCTGGTAAAATATTAATTGTTAACCTATCCAGGACTCTACGTCAAAAGATCTGAATTGTCTCTTTAACATATTTGTGCTCATTTCAATGAATCAAAAGTTATATATTTGCTGGTCTAAAAGAAGAAGAAGCCTGAAGCACTGGTGGTGAACGGCTAAAATCAAAAAAGCTTTTATTCATATCACAACACTGACTGAGCTGAGCATTTGAAACGTTCAGCGCTTCACCACGGGGCCACTTTGATGTCACAATACTGAATACTTTGGCAGAAATAATGGATTGCCATGGGTTTCACAATAAAAAGAATCCAACGGTTACTTAAAACCTTTTCAACTCAACGCTGCCACTTACTGATCCCAGCACATCTAAACATTTGAGTGGACAGGAAGCCATTAATGTGCTTCACTTTATAAAACATAACTCGCCCTTCGCTATCAATTATGTAGTTCTGGTGTGAAAGAGATGGGAAAAGGGCCACACATGGCAGGCTGTGAGGTCCGGCTTTGAGAGAAAGCGCTGCACCACGTGACTGTGGATGTGTTCGCGCTCTCTCACGGCCCGACTGAGAGCTTTTCCCCACGGACCCAGTGTTCCAGTTGCATCAGTGTTTGTCTGCCTTCTCTAGGACGTGGGGGCTGAAATGGGGCTGAAACTGAGAGAGCTCCATCTGGATACCCAAAGGGCTTTTCTACATTAGCATGGAGCCGATAATACTTCTTTCTATTGCACAAGACCCAAAAGTCCCGCACCAGTTGAAATCTGTAGCTGGTCTTATGTTTCCTGCTGCAAGAGGCAATTGTTTAAGTTGTTTTTTGTTATTTAAAACCCATTTCTTAAAAGAATGCAAGGCCCACTGCCTTTCATGCAAGAGCTTTACACTCAAATAATTTTATAGTGAGAAATAAAGGAGTTTTAGTTATTTTGGTTAAACAAGACATCTAGTGTGATCTCAGTTTTTGCAGGATGTGTTGTGAATGGCCCTCAACTATGACCAAACCAAATTTTAGCACAGTATTAAAAAATACCTACAAGGTATAACCATTTTTGAACTGGTTCAAGGTTTTTTATTGGCATTTGCATCACATCTGGTACATGAGGTGGAACGAAGCAGCACAGATGAAGTGACACCAATTAAAGTCGCATTGCTGTGATTTTCCTGATTAGGGATTTATGAGTCTAACAGCTTTAGGGTAGAAGCTGTTTATCAGTCTGGAGCGCATCAAACTCAAGGCCCCGGGGCCAAATGTGGCCTTTGTTGACATCTTATCTTGCCTCCAAGATGATATGTAAAATGGAAAATACTTTTTTCACTTGAATTTTTTTCAGTAATCTTTACTTATCAGAATCAGAATAAACATTATGATGTCAAAAGTGCAACAGAGAACGTCAAATGAGACCAATCAAACGCATTTTTGAGGAACTTGCAACCAAAAAAAGATGTTGGGTATCTAACTTGAGTTAATGTAAAATCTGAAACTGGCCTTTAGTTTGAAAAAGGTTTTAATTTTGGCCCCCTTCTGTAAGTGAGTTTGACACCCCTGGTTTAGTGGTTCTACACTTAATGCTCCGCAACCTCCTGCCTGAGGGAAGCAGGGCTGCCCTCAGGGCTGTGTGTTGAGCCCCCTCATGTTCACTCTGGGCTGACGTCAAAAGTTAGTCAGTTGTAGATGTACGTCTAATAAATGCTTTCTATGAGTTTCATTAAAACTAGTCCAGTGGTTTATGGGATATTTTACTAACAGACCGATAAGGTTAACTCCAACAGTTAATGCCAAGGTTTTAAACAAATATATCACACATTGTGTTGCACTTAATGTTTGTGTTGGGGGCGTTGCCAAGCCACTATAACTCCAAACTTTCATGTGATAGCTGTAAAATCTGCAGTTACAATTTTACAGCTAGTCAATGGCAAAGTTGCATATCAAACACACACACAAAAAGGAAAAAAAACATTATCCCTTCACCTTCATTGGTCAGTAATAACAATAATGGAATGGGATTAATTGTTTTACAGTACATGAAATAACTATTATTACTTCCAAATTTACTTCATCACCAAATACAACATGTTTCATGCTTAATTACATAAAAATAATATTTCCAATTGTTTATTAGAAGATTTGCAATACACTACCAATTGTTTTTTTTTTCACTTTACTTTTGTTGGTTAAATTTACACTTGAGTAGAATACTTTTCATTCATTCAACCTTTATTTATAGGTTAGTCCCATTGAACCTCACAGTAGACAACAAAGACAAAAGAGACAAGACAATCATATAAGAAAACATACAAATTGAGAAGAACAAATGAAAAAAAAT